GTGCAAATGCACATTATCATCTAGAGTATATATTTTGTTTGTTTTTTGCTTTTTTGTTTTTTCTTATAAGTAAAGTACTTTGGTCTGTCATGATCAAAAGTTTGAGAAAACTTTTGTTTGATTAACCTTTATTTTAAGTATTTATACTTTTGAAGTAACTATACTATACAGTTTGAAAAGCTCTCAATGCTCATTTCTTTATCCAGGGATTAAATAAAAATGGGATTAAAGCACTCACACACACCTCCTTTTTGGTTATTTTCATTACCTCACCTGCAAGTAGGTCTTTTTCTTAATCATTACACATGCCACAGAATGCAAGTTTAGAAAAAAATATACATTTCTAAAGTGTGTCTGAGAGGGAATGAGTTGGGAGAATTATACTCATTTGACTAGTACCCTTTTGAGAGGTCAAGTATCCTTAACTTAACTTTGAATACTAATATCTTAGATATTGTGTGTGTGTGTGTGTGTGTGTGTGTGTGTGTGTGTGTGTGTGTGTGTGTGTGTGTGTGTGTGTGTGTGTGTGTGTGTGTGTGTGTGTGTGTGTGTGCGCGCTTTCCTCTACCAAGTCACACTTCTATCTCAATGAAACTCTGCATTTTCGAATACTTTACATTTTGACATTATGTTTATCTGTCAATGTTTAGTCCAAGGGATTTTCTCATTATGTTTTATTACATTCTGGTCTCTCTTCCAGTTAGAAAGCAAATGAAAATATACATTTTGGAGTAGAAAATCTAACAAAAATTTGTTCAATGTGAAAGTTACTCTAGCATTCACACTACTCTACATAGAAATTTTAACATCTGACAAATATACAAGCCCTGCTATTCACAATGACTGTATATAATCCTGGGAAACAACTGATTATTGTGTGGTACCGAGTTAGTAATGCCATGCTTATTTAGTAATTGCTTGTAGGAAGAATCTTGTGTTATGAATAATGTCTTTGGACTGTGTCACAATTCCTTTTAAATATTCAAGGGCTGCCTTACATCTCTAGTTCAAGCCTCTGAGGTTAATTTTCAGATAATATGATGCACTGGAGCAAAAGCAATGACATTCTAGAGAGCAGGAAGATTAACCAGAATCATTAATCAAAACTGAAAAGAAAATGTGTTGAGCATTATTATATCATATATGTGTTGTCCTCATATCACCCCAGAAAAACAGTTCTATTTACAGGTCTGACTATTATTCTAGGAATCGTGCAACATCTGTGCAGTGTGAATACATCACACCAGAGAATTTCATGTGAGAGTATTTTGTTACAGTCATCACACAAATGCCTGGTAAGCAGGAGGGGGAATATGAAGTATTCTCATAGACTACTTCTTGGGAAGATACCTTTAAATAAAAACTTTATATACTACTTATTTATAAAGACAGAGATGTGGGCTCAGGGACTACACTTCAAAATATTATTGAGGGGATGTAAAATATTTTGCACTTCTGAAACATATTTGCCCTGTTAATTATTTTACTAAATGAAGTTCCAAATTGTCCATATTATGACCTATTTAAAAGTGTTTTTTTTTTTTTTTAATAAAACAGACAAAACTTTATAAAGTTATGAGTTTATAAAGTTTTGTTATGACATTTGAAGTTTTATCTACCCTGCCCCGCAAAAAGGATTTTTTTTCAGTCTTGGCCTGCAAAGTAGTGTTTTTTCACGACTTGGGGTGTTGAGTCACACCCTACACCGTCTCAAAAGTTACGTCCCTGTGTGGGTTACAAATACATATTGTCACTGATTATACATTTATGAATGTGCTAAAAACCCTTCTTATATGTTAGCTGTATGTGAAAGTGTGTACATAATACATAAAAATTGGCGGTGAAGGGTTGCAGACTGTGTTTACCATTTTATAAAACTATATTGAAACTTGTAAAAATAATTCTCAAGCTTCTGCCATTTAAAAGACACCTTTCAAAAATCAGTAGAAAAAATCCAAATGTAAAAAAGGTCAAAAAAAGAAAAAAAAATCATGTAAATACTTTCTTTATGATAAAATAAAAGATAACATAAAATTCAACAATATACAGTATGTACTAAAAACTAAGAAAAAAAGATTAGGTCATGACATGACTAGTCATCAATCCAAAACATTACTAAATGATTCTAGTAAGAGAGTACATACCTGACACAAACATACATACATACTATCTCCCATTGAAAAAGAAAAGAAATTGGTTAGCACTCTAAAACTTTGTCTATTCTGAATCACAGACATTTTTATGGTGAACCAGAATATAAGTTCCATTTCAGTCAAGCTTCATATAAGATAACTTTAGCATGACAAACGAGGCATCATTTTTGGCCAGCAATTTTCAACAATGAGAACACAGAAACGGAACTAATCTGTAAAATAAAAATTTGCTGCTTTCCCTGCATTCATAGGCAGGAAAAGACTGGCATATAGAAACAAAAATTACATTTTCTTTGTAACAAAACCCATTTCCTTTCTCTCAAAATATTGAAAATTAAGCTTGTTAT